TTCTTATACCCAATTTGCATGTGCATCGAGTTACGTACAAAGGAAAAATAATTGAGCTCAAAACATAGGGATATATACATACATACATATATATATGTATATATTCAAGTCAATAATTAAATATGAAGAGAGTAAACTTTTGTGGGATCAAAAGTTTGGTAGAAAAGTCATTAAATATTTACTATAGAATTATTAAAATTTTTGTCCCAATTGTTTGGTCATTGTCACAAGTAAACTGATGCTGATGCATGACTCTGACATTAGAAGCTAAGTTACAAAATCCTTTTATTGCTAACAGGCACAGCCATGGCAACTGTGCATTACAGATGTGATATCAACGTAGAGGCACACTGCAAATTTGATCTTATGCTCATGAAATACAAGACAAAAGGATTGAAACTCTTTAATTATTGTCATAGATTAATAATATATATCACTTTCATGCCATTTCCTTCAAACGAAGAAAAGAACAACTAGGTTCGAGATTGAGGGAATAGCATGCTCCTATATTTTCAAGGTTTTCTTTTCTTTTCTTTTCTTTTATGGATGGATATATTTGAGATTTCTATATGTGGAATTAAACCATTGCAGACTTAGCTAATCGGGTTTAATATAGTGTCATTGTTTAATGTTTCTTTCAAAAACATTCTATTATGCCTTGAAAAGACACTAATCTAGGGATATATTTCTTTTAATTATTTTATCTTGAATTGATTCTAATCTAACCAGATCGTCATTATCTATAAAATATTTTGTTTTTGATCGAAGAGAATATGACCTAAATTATATACATAAAATACCACACAAGTCTATATCCTCCTGATAGTAATCATAAGATATTTAATTAGTAACTCCTTGATTTATATGTTTGAGCTACGCATGCCTTAAATAGTTATAATGAAAATATTTTTTTATATATAAAATATATATATGCTTCAACCCGGAAATGAAAAAAATGGGTAAGGTTACCAAAGCTGATGATCAAAGTGTAAACAGTTTACATTATTTCTTCAACTGGCTCAACAATATATAATCTCATGTATGCATCAAAGAAATATTTTAACCATTTATTGTGGGAAACTCAATTAAATTCATTTGGTTTGTTAATTTTACTATTTTTGTTTTTGTTTTTAGATAAGTTGTTAAAAAGCGAAAGTAAATTGTAGAAACCAAATTTTATATTATATATGATTTATTAAAAATGTACCAATATTTAGAAAGCAACATTAGCTCTATTGTAATTATTGTATATAAAGCTAAATTAATACATTTTGGTTCTCAAAATATCATAATTATAACTTTGCCGATGAAATATTTATTTTAATTTTTAAAATAAAAATAATAAAATTTTGAGTGTGGACAAATGGTTTTTTATAATATACTAATAAAAACGCATTTCACGTGCAATTTTTTTATTACAATTTTATAATTATTTAATTATAATAAAAAATCACATAAGAATTTACTATTTATACCTGTAGTCTTCACATATAATTGGTAAACATTATAAATTTATAATTGTGATTAATTAATTATAAATTGGTTAAATTATGCAATTAATACTTGTTCTATGTAAACAGTATAAATTCGGTACTTGTACAATAATTTGTGTGAATTGGATTCTTGCATCTTGTTAATTTGTTAATTTCAGTTTTTAACTCTAATACTGTTAAATTGACTGTTTAGTATGTTGACACGTTATTTTGACCAAGTTAATATGATAATAATAAAGATGATGTGGCATAATGCTCGTTTACATGGTAAAAATGTTAACTCTCCATGTGACTTTAACAAAGAAATTAAAAAAAACACCCTAATCTTAAATTAAAAATTAAATGAAATTAACAAAAAAAAATGATCAAAAACTTTTTAAAAAATACGATTAAGAGAGAAAGAAAAAAAAAGTTTACCGTCGCAGAGAGAGAGAGGGAGAATCAACTTTATTGATGTTCGATGACATAGAAAACATTAACGATGAAGATGACGACTGGTGGATAGCAGTCGAAATGACTGCATCTCAGGCTGAGCTTACGCAGTTAAGCTAATTCAAAGATTAAAACATATTTCAGCTAAATATTCCAGCTCTCACCCAATGAGAGACATGCCACAATGCAGCAAATGAGTGAAAGAATCTTATTCTGGGACATTTAACTTTGAAAAGGTAACTTGGGAATTCAAATTCTGATTGATGGGTTGCCATTTGCCAAATATCCAAACAAGAGTGCCGCCCTGTGATTGCAGGAGATGATGCGGGAATAGGGTTTGTACAACTCTACGAGTCTTCAACTTTGACAAGTTAAGGTATCAATGAAATTTTCTTGAATATAAATGATTACCATATAGCTCTCTGAAGTACGAAAGCCAATAATCTAATAAAGCTAGTGTTGAAGGTTTACTCTACATTGGCAGATAAAACCACACATCTTAAGAACATTCAGTTAGTTTGTGAATTTTAGATGGATATGGAAATGATGTAAGTTGTAAGAGTTATATCTTCAAACAATAAAATGTATGTGAAATTTTGAATTTTTTTTAAAAAAATTGCTTATGAATACGAAATTGAAGGTAAGGAAAATAATGATTTTTTTTCTTTGAAGATTCAACTAGTTTTGAATCAGCAATTCTTCATTGAAAATTCAACTAGTTAATATAAAGATTTTGTTGCAATCTTATCTAATTTTTAATTTAGAGTTAGAATGTTTTTTTTTTTAATTTCTTTGTTAAACTCATGCGAAGAGTTAGCATTTTTTTACCAGGTAAACGTTTTGCCCTGTCAGTGTTATACCACGTCATCTCTATCAATATCATATCAACTTAGTCAAATATCATGTCAATTTGATAAAAATGCTATGTTAACATATTTAATGATGTTAGAGATAGGGATTAGTATTAACAAATATATAAAATACAAAGGTTCAATTTACATAAATTATTGTACAAAGACTAAATTTATTCTTTTTGTATGGTATGAAGACTAATGGTATAATTTAACTTTATAAAATTTATATTTGATACATTAAAAATATATAACTATTATATATTATCAGGCCATCCAGT